TTAAAAGAGAGAACATTTATTTTTTTAATGCAGGGTATAAGAGGTGAGAATGCTGAACAGGGATACACAAAGCATGCTTCTGAAGTCCCTGAGCTCAGAACTCTGGGCGAACACCAGCGGTCAGCACACCTGAATAGCTCACTCTATTAAAACTGCTGTACCAACCAGAATCCCAGTGGGCATAAACAGCTCTGAGAAGAAAACATTTTTTTTTCCTTTTCCTAATAGAAATTGGAAAAAGGATTCAAAGCCATTCCAAGCACCCCATGCTGATTGCCAAGGGCAAATCTGGACACAGGTTTCAGGCATTGCACTTGCTGCCCAATTGCTCATTAAAAGCTGTGGGGCATAGCCCAGTCATCTAAGAGGGAAAAACGAGGGGCTGCTTCTCATTCATAGAGACCACCCCTTCCTTTTTTAAAGATAAAGGTCAGTCAGTCTCTTCGTACATGATTGAATTGATCCCTACACAGTCGATTTGGAATTAGCCACTTTTGGGATCAATCACACAGGGATTGAAGGGACTGACCAGGCTCTGATCCATGTTGGCTGATATGACAACTGAGAGCTTGGGAATTACCAGGCAGAGCCAGCCCTGGTGCCTTTTGATAGACTGATTACAACAACACCATCCCTCTCTGCTTTGAACAGTTTGGGATGTGACTTTGCTGCTTCCCCCATCAAGAAGTGAAGTCTTTCCCTATACTCCCTGTATCTAGGCTGGCCTGGTGACTTGCTTTGGCCAGCAGAATGTGGTGAGAGGGAGCCTAGGTAATGGATAGAAAATGCAATAACCATCACCAACACCATCATCATCACCATCTTTTCCCTCAAGGGGCTTTGGATACTTAGGATCTTGTTCTTGGAACCCTCTCTGTTGCCATGTGAACAAGTCTGAGTTCACTTGCTGGGTGTTGAGAGACATTCAGCATCTCACCCATGTCACCCTGGCCACCAAACAACCAACCAACAGACTTGAGAATGAGGCCATTCTAGATCAGCTGACCTCCAGCTCACCCATCAGCTGGGTGTACACACATAAGCACATCCAGCCAAGATCAGCCAAGCCAGCCTGACCAGCAGACCTGTAGGCTTGGGAGCAATACTAAATGGTTGTTTTAAGCCACTCCATATTGAGGTGATCTGTAATACAGCCATACCTTACAAATACAGTCATCAAATGCAGCCAGAGCCTTTGAAGAGCTCAGGATAAGAAAAGGCAGCCTTCAGTCCTGGACAGGGACTATAGCAAAGTATAGCCAGTGGGCCTGCCACTTTGGTTTTGTAAGTAAAACTTTATTGGCACATAGCCACATCCATTGTTGTAGTTTTCATTCTACAATAGCAAAGTTAAGTGGTTGTAAGGGAGACCACCTGGTCAGTAAAGCCTAAAATTTTTACCATCTGGCCATTTAAGGAAAAGATTGCTGACCCCTGTTCTAATGCGAATGTAAACATCCACTGTGATACTACTAATAATACTAGCCTATGTAACAAACCTGGTATAAAGATCTGACTTAGCTGTCAGGAGATCAAGATTTCTGTTATAAATTTGCAGTTGCAAAAATGTGTAACCAACCCAAATGCCCATCAATCAACCAGTGGATAAAGAAGTTGTGGTGTGTGTGTGTGTGTGTGTGTGTATATATATATATAATATATAATATATAAAAATATATAATATATATAATATATAATATATATAAAATATATAATATTATATACAAATATATAATATATATTAATATAATATATATTATTATATATTATTTATATATATATTATATTCCAATAATATATATATTGGAATACTACTCAGCCATAAAAAGGAATGAATTAATGGCATTTGCAGCAACCTGGATGAGGTTGAAGACTATATTCTAAGTGAAGTAACTTAGGAATGGAAAACCAAACATAGTATGTTCTCACTCATAAGTAGGAGCTAAGGTATGAGAATGCAAAGGCCTAAGAATGACACAATGGACTCTGGGGACTCAAGGGGAAAGGGTGGGAAGGAGATGAAGGATAAAAGACTACAAATTGGGTGCCGTGTATATGGCTTAGGTGATGCGTGCACCAAAATCTCACAAATCACCACTAAAGAACTGACTGAAATAACCAAACGCCACCCGTTTCCCCAATAACTTAAGGAAATAAAATCTTTTTTAAAAAAGATTTCTGTGATGAGACTTCTGGCAGGTTCTTCCCCCTTTCTGGGCTTTACTTTTCCCATCTGACATTGACAGAGGATGAGTGAGAAACCCTCTCCATCTCTTCATAGCTGATTTCAGTAAACCTCAGTGGCTCAAACCAAATAAATTGTGGATGGGGCTCAGGGATATATATGCATTATCTGAAACATTTCCTCCCTGCTCTCCCCCCCAGTCCCAGATGATTTGGATGCAAGGGAAAGCCCACTGATTCTATACCAATTGGTTCAGGAAGCCTTGTCCATGGAGACATGACCAGAAGTGCAAGAGTATATTCAAGACGTCATGAGAAATTGCAAGGCCTATTTTTGCAAGGCGATGCTTTAAAAGCATCAAGCTTAGGCGCCAGCTATGTTATAATCTTAATACCAATCAAAGAGAGGTAGGAGGAAAGTGGGATGGGGTGGAGTGTGATGGGCTCATTAATGACTGAAATATTAGGGAGGGACAATGATGATGGTGATGATGATAATGGTGGTAGGAATGATGATGATGATGATGATGGTGCTGGAGATGATTTTTGCATCTTCCATTCATGCAATAAGTGCTCTAATTAGTGATTTTCTTTTGTTGCCATCTTATCCTATGATTTCACTCTTGCATTCTTTTATTCTTCACATATAGGAAACTTGGCTTGCCAAATACATTATGGGCTCCTTAAAGGCAAGGCTTTGAGATATACTTTCTGTGTAGTGTGTGGTGATGAAAGCTTGGGCTCTGCAGTCAGATCGACCTGAGTCAGCAACACACTGACCTCTGTGACCTTGAATAGGTGAATATATGTCTCTGAGCTTCTGCTTTCCCATCTGCAGAGAGGGGATAATGATCCACCTACACAATAGGAGGCTGAGAGGACCGAGTGAGATAATGGCTACAGAGTGATGAGGAGTGGCCATTATCACTGCGGACACTGTAGGAGCCTAATAAATATTTGACAAATGAGCAGACAGAGAAGTCTGGAATCATCGTATCACAGCTCTAAATGAATCCATTGCCCTAAAGCAGTGGTTCTCAGTGTGGAGTGTGTGTGTGTGTGTGGCGGGGTGGGGCCTCATCCAGTTTTGCCCCCGGGGGACATTTGGTAATGACTGGAGATATTTTTGGTTGTCACTGCTGGCATCAGGTGGGTAGAGGATGCGGCTAAGCATCTTGCATACACAGGACAGCCTTTCAAAACAAAGAATTAATTATTTCTCTCCAAATGTCAGCAGTGTCAAGGCCAAAAAACCCTGCCCCAAAGTCAAAAGCTTATATTTCTGTGCCTGAAATCTTCCAGCTGAAAAGTGCTAACTGGTGAAAGAAAAAAAGTTGGGCTTGAGATTCTTTGGAATAGACACAATGGGAACAAGATGTCAAGATTTTCTAAAGCAGAAGTGTTCTTTGGAAGGTTGATTAGCTCCTGTTGCACCATGCAATGATGAGTTCATGTCTCAGGTCAGAAAACTGGAGGGGCTTCTCTGGGAAACAGCTCCTTGAGTCTTGGGGAAAATGTGTCCCCTGAGCACAGGCTGAGATGTTGTCGCACACACTCGACGAGGGCTGTAGACAGATTTTATCAGGCTTTGCAAACTATTTGACATTAGAGTGTCTGGCTTGGTAAGAAATGAAATGACTCAGTCCCAGCTGATTCGCCACTTAGCTGTAAACCACGGTGTCTACTTTCCGTTATTTTTATATGCCAAATAGCTTTGCCAGCTCCAGGCTTCATGTCCCTTTCAAGAGGACAAAGGAACAGCTCCTGACATGACAGCTCATTGAGTCATTTCAGTTCGGCTTCAATTTATAAGCTAGCAAAGCAAATGAGCCGGAGGTGCAACTACTTACATATGAGCCTCGGGTAGCAAGGGAGAAATGATGCAGCTGTGGATGGGAGTGAATGGGTGACGTGTGATTTCAGCTCCCAGCTTCTTCAGCTTCTCGTCATCATAGGTGCTGAAGGGCAAGCAGACAGAGAAACAAAGTGAACAACGAGCAGTAGCTTTGAACACCTTCTTCTCTCACCAGGATCTATTTGGCAGATATGACTGGGCACTTACTATGTATCAGGCAAATAACTCCTGCCAGAGGGATGAGAGTTTTAGATGCAGTTCCTTAACAGAGCATATAAAAGTCCCTGCCCTCATGGAGTATATATTCTGCTAGAAGAGCCAAGAGAATAAACAAGATAAATCATGTGGTATACTAGTATACCGTACTAAGGGTTGGAAATGTTTGTTTTAAGGTCCAGACAAGAGATATTTTCAGCGGTGTTCTGGAAATAGCAATTTAATACCATATTTAGGTATGTTTTTCTTCCACCATCACAGCAGAACAAATCATTTCCATTATAGAAAACAGGGTTTGTTGGGGGAAGGGGATTTGTCATGCTTGAGTCATAGGAGATACATATTTTGTTGTTGTTGTTGTTTGTTTGTTTGTTTGAGACAGAGTCTCACTCTGTCACCCAGGCTGGAGTATAGTGGCGCGATCTTGGCTCACTGCAACCTCTGCCTCCCAGGTTCAAGGGATTCTCGTCCCTCAACCTCCCAAGTAATTGTGATTACAGGTATGTGCCACCATGCCTGGCTAATTTTTTTGTATTTTTAGTAGAGATGGCCTTAGCCAGGCTTGCCTTGAACTCTCATCCTCAAGTGATCCACCTGCCTTGGCCTCCCAAAGTGCTGGGACTACAGGTGTGAGACATCACACCTGGCTGCAGGGTATATAGTTTTTGTTCACAGCCAACTTCAGTCCACAGACATGTTTTAACTAATCCACTCTTTTTCTCTCTGTCTCTGTGTGTGTGTGTAGTTGAATCAACTGTCCACATTTTAAAATTGGGAGATGTCACATAAACATGGAAAAACTTTGGCCTTCAAAAAATGGAAAGTTCTGGCCACTCGGGACCTGTGTTTCTACTGACAAGAATAATGAGCCATAGACTGCTTTGCATGAGGTATGTGCTTCTTGAGTTGCCCCAAACACTAACACCCTTGGTTCCCACTCTCTGCTTTTCTTTCTAATTCATGCCATCTGCCATCTGATGGTCTTTTAGCTTCTGAGCTGCAGTCTAAGTACTTTCATTGATTGGATCATTGACAGGTTCCCTGATTCATTAATTTCTACCAATAATTATTGAACCTCTTCTCTGAGCTGGAGGCTGCCAATACAGCAATGCATGAAAGAGATCCAGCCTTTCCTCTTCTGAAGCTTAGGGTCTAGTGGGGGAGAAAGGCATAACCAAACACACAGTTGTGATAAATGTGCCAAGGGTAGGTGCTTTAACTGCCTAGAATTGTAAATTTGACTGAAATGGAAGCCAGGGAATACTGTACTTCCTTAAGGAAGTGGCAATTTCAAAACATGTCTCCCAAATTTTCTGAAACTTCTCCAATCAAGAGGTAGGTCTATGTTCATTTGGCTCTGTAATCAGCTGGCCTAATAGAGTGTGTCAGAAGTGATGTGATTCTTAGTCCCAGAAACTGGCAACCTCTCCTTCCTGTGTCCTGGGATGCTCACTCATCATTCAGCTGCCATGATGTGGGGAAGCTGGCAGCCTGTGAGGAGGCCCACAGGGAAAGGAACCAAGCTCACGACCTGACAGCCAAATATAGCTTGCCACCCATGTGAGTGAGCTGTCTTGGAAATGGTCCTTTGAGCTTCCTCAGCTAGTGTTTTGTGGAGTAGATACAATCCTTCCCCTCTGAGCCCTACTCAAATTGGAGATTTATGAGAGAAAGAAGTTCTGATTGTCTTGAGTTAATAAGTTTTAGAGTGGGTATTCATGGCAATAGTAACTGTAGAAGTAAATATTGAACTGAAATTTGAAGGTTGAATGGAAATTAACTGGGTAAATGGAGAAGGGAAAAACCTTTCAGCCAGAGGGAACAGCATGTGCAAAGACTCTGTAGAGGAGGCCATGTCATGAGTAAGAAAGTAGGAGAGTGTGGCTGGGGTAAAGGGAGTAAGTGGAGGCTATGAGCTGAGGCCAGATAGGCAAGCCACAGGCTAGACCATTCAGGGCCTTGGAACCCCTGCTCAGACTTTTGTGTTTACCCTAGAGGAATGGCAACCATGGAGGCTGGTAAGCTGCATGCAATTTATATTTTGAAAGATCACTTAGCTTGGGGCTTGGGGAATGGGATGGAGGGGGCCAGTGGAGATGATGCTGGGATGCAAGTTAGGAGTTTACCTTCCTCCTGGGAATTTGAGGACAATCCTGGGGTCACAGTGTTAATGAGAAAATAGGACCAGAATCCAGGTCCTCCAATTTTCACTTCCACTGACTCTTTATTCAACCCTAGAGCTAAGAAAACCACAAACAAATACATGGCTGTGACCTCTTCTTACCGGCTCAACCATGTCTTTCAGTGGTTTAGGATATGTGGAAATTAACCCAGCTTTTACATCCTTAATCTCTGGTTTAATGTCTTCTCTCAGCCACAATAATAAAACGAATCCTACCCATCATTTTCCCCCCCACCTTTTCAGCTAAATCTGCAGCTGAAAAATGAGGTCACTGAGCACAGTGGGAAAGACTGCTTGCAGGCAGAAATCTTTGGGGATGTGCTTGATTTTCTTTTTTCCCTGCATAGTTTGTCAGACTTAAAGTTTTTGTCTAAAAAATGTATTCTATGGTCTTAGATCCAGAGGGGAGAAAATAATTCCTTTTGCTTTTATGATGCACAAGATCAAATACTTTGTGAAAAAAGTCTTTATTCACTTGTATTTTTGGTACTTTTGTGATTGGAATTTTGTCTATAGACGTATCGCTGTTAGATGTGAGATGCTTTTTAGCTTTCATGGAAATTAAGATTTTTAGCCATACATTTAAGGATTTTAGGTAATTGAGGCTCAGAGAGCTCAAGCTCACTTTATTGCACCATAATAGATAACACTTACTGAGCATGTCTTATAGGTAGGCTCTAGGCTAAGTATCATTTCATTTAATCCTCATAATAAGCTTGGGAGTTTGGTACCATTTTTTTATGTAGGTGAAGAAAAAGGGGACTCAGAGAGGTACAGGGATTTGTTCAAAGTACAACGGTTGTGTGGGGGAAGTCCTAACTGGTTCCAAGGCTTGTGTACTTCACCACCACTACCCTGTCTGGGTATAGACAATCTCCTAATGCTATTTTATAATACTTCCCACCCATGCGTTTGATGGCTACCTTGCAGTAACGACTTCCAGTTTTATTTTAATAAACAGCCTTGTACAGCGCATAGAATCTACCAGATAAGACATAACTAGACAAAAGTCTACAAGAGGAGGGATCTCATACATATTTAAACTTATTAAACTTTAAATAAACCATGTCTCATGCACTGAAACATGGATGGGAGAGAAGAGAATTGCGTTCTATGACCGTGGATAAAAAACTGCATCCAAACAAGTGAAACTTTACACCTGAGCCATTTAAACAGGAAAAGGAGTGTCTTTGGTAGACACCCTCCTTCTCCAGTGCTTGTTGAGTTTGCCTGTCAATCTGAGCATAGCTCCTACAAAAAAAGAGCCATGAGCTCATGCCTTCTCTTTCTTCCCAGGAAAGGCTGCCAGTCTGTCATTAGGAGTATCAGACTCCATGGGTGCCATTGAGCTTGGTCACGAAGGCACAATTTGTGCTGAGCCCAGGGTCTACACAAATGAGGAGTCAAAGAGTAGACTCTTTCCATGATATTCTTGGATCCCAACAGCCATAATTCAGAGGGAGGGTGACTGGAAATATACCAGCTCCGTGAGGTCTTGCAGTCTGGGTTCTCATCCACCACTTGGACCCTTGAGCTTTAAAGAGGTCCAGTTCTCAGCCCAGTGAGGTGGCTCACGCCTGTAATCCCAGCACTTTGGGAGGCTGAGGCAGGTGGATTACCAGGTCAGGAGTTTAAGACCAGCCTGGCTAAGATGGTGAAACCCCATCTCTACTGAAAGTACAAAAATTAGCCGGGCGTGGTGGTGGGCGCTTGTAATCCTAGCTACTCAGGAGGCTGAGGCAGGGAATTGCTTGAACCTGGGAGGCAGAGGTTGCAGTGAGCCGAGATCATGTCAATGCACTCCAGCCTGGGCGATAGAGCGAGACTACTTCTCAAAAAAAAAACAAAAACGACAACAAAAAAAGAGGTCCAATTCTCCTCTGACTTGTGAATTGTGCTGCTATAAACATGCATGTGCAAGTGTCTTTTTCATACAATGACTTCTTTTCCTTGTATGAAAATCCCATTACCCATTACCCAGTAATGGGATCACTGGATCAAGTGGTAGATCTACTTTTAGTTCTTTAAGGCATCTCCATACTGTTTTCCTTAGTGGTTGTACTAGTTTACATTCCCCACCAAAAAGAAAAAATACTCAACATTGCTAATTATTAGGGAAATGCAAATCAAAACCGCAATGAAATACCACCTGACTCCTGCAAAGAATGGCCACAAAAAAAAAAAAGATGTTGGCTTAGATATATTCATACAATTTTTTTAAGTTCCCAAGTGAGTCCATTTTGAAGCCACGGTTGGGAGCCATTATGCTAAGGCTGCCTTCAGGAATCCAAACTGCCAGTTCATTTGCTGAAAATGACACAGAAGCCACAACAGGCACCCCCTCTCCTCTGCATCATTTCCCAAATTCTATTCTTCAGAATGTTAATTTAGAGACATGTGAATATGTGCTTCTTATAAACAAGGGTCCTGTCAATGGAATCATATAATATGTGACCAGAAAGGTCTTTGCATTGGGTACAGTGTACACTGCTTGGGTGATGGGTGCATCATAATCTCAGAAATCACCACTGGAGAACTTGTTCATGTAACCAAACACCACCCCAAAAACTACTGAAGTTAAAAACAATTTTAAAAGTGTATGAACAGCTAATACACATTAGAGAGCCTAATATCACTGGCCTGGACAGTGATGTTTTGAAAAACTTGCCAGATGATTCTCATGTGTAACTGGGGTTGCAACAGCTGCTCTGATAGGAGAGTGGCTACAGATACAGGCCAGCTCTTTCTCTTTCTTTCTTTTCTTTCTTTCTTTCTTTCTTTCTTTCTTTCTTTCTTTCTTTCTTTCTTTCTTTCTTTTCTTTCTTTCTTTCTTTCTTTTTCTTTCTTTCTCTCTCTTTCTTTTTCTTTCTTCCTTTCTTCCCTTTCTTTCTTTCTTCTCTTTCTTTTTCTTTCCTTTCTTCCCTTTCTTTCTTTCTTCTTTCTTTTTCTTTCTCTTTCCTTCCTTCCTTTCTTTCCCTTTTTCCTTCCTTCCCTCCCTCTCTCTTTCTTCTTTCTTTCTCTCTTTCTTTCCTGCCTTATTCCTTCCTTCCTTCCTTCCATCTTCTTCCTTTCCTTTCCTTTCTTCTCTCTCTCTCTCTCTTTTTTTTTCTGAGATGGAGTCTCACTCTGTTGCCCAGGCTGGAGTGCAGTGGCATGATCTTGGCTCACTGCAATCTCCACCTCCTGGGTTCAAGCAATTCTTCTGTCTCAGCCTCCTGAGTAGCTGGGACTACAAGTGCCTACCACCATGCCTGGCTATTTTTTGTGGTTTTTGGCAGATATGGGGTTTCACCATATTGGTCAGGCTGGTCTCGAACTCCTGACCTCAGGTGATCTGCTGTTCTCGGCCTCCCAAAGTGCTGAGATTACAGACATGAGCCACCATGCCTGGCCTGCAGGCCACTTTTCTACCCTGCCTTTCCTCCCTGGCTGCCTCGGCACTTCCTTTCCATTCTTGATTTGTGCCTCATTCAGTCTGCACAAGCTCAAAGTTTCCCAGGATTTTCTCCACACCAAACAGTGCAGTTGATGGATTTTGGTGCCACTGAGTTTGGGACTCTGAGTTGCTTTCTAACTACTGACCTGAGGGAAGATTAGTTAACCTCTAAGCTTCATTTCTCCATCTCTAAAATGGGGCCAATAGTAGCACCTATCTCAGGAATGTTTTGAAATTTAGCCAAATAGGTGTGCATAAAGCACGCGTAAACATCATCATCACAGTTGTATTTATTGTTGTTGTTGCTCTTATTATATGCATGAACATTTCATAATGGACCAGACTGTTGCCAGTCCTTTTCCAACCAGGGGTAAGTCCTGCACAAAAACAGGAGGCATTTTTTGTGCACCTG